AACATGTTGGCCCCAAAGTTGAATTGTTGAAAGTAGAAAAAATGGGCCAGCGTACGGATTTGAGCGACTTTGACAAAGGCCAAATTATAATGCCTGGACGACTGGATCTGCAGTGGTCAGGATCTACCAAAAGTTGTCCTAGAAATCAAAACTTGTGACAGGGTCATGGGCAGCCAAGGCTAATTGATGCATATGGAGAGCGAAGGCTGGCCCGTGTTGTGCAATCCAATAGAAGAGCTACTGCAGATCAAATTGCTGAAAAAGTTCCTGCTATGAGCACATGAGCATCGGAACTGGACCACAGAGCAATAGAAGAAGGAATCTTCAAAGTGTTTACTTGGCCTCCAAATTCTCCAGATCTCATTCCAATCTCGCATCTATGGGATGTCCTGGAAAAACAAGTGCGATCCATCAACACCCTACCTCACAGTTTAAAAGATCTGCTACTGATGGCTTGGTGCCAGATACCACAGCATACCTCCAGAGGTCTAGTGAAGTCCATGCCTCAACAGGGTCAGGGATGTTTTGGCAGAAAAAGGGGGACCTACTAAGTATTAGGTAGGCAGTCATGTAATTGTGGGTTGTCATAGTGTTATGGCTGGTCAGTGTATATTTGTCTTGGGTACTCAGTCTAAAGTGAAGATTTTAGTTTTTGGTGAACTCACTCTGATGGAGGGGTCTTGTGTAGATAGGGAGGTTTCAGTATAATGAGTAACAATGAAGAGGTTAATTAAAAATTATTTATTTGCTGTTACAGCTATTTTGAGTTGTTTCCCTGAAGAAGTCAGAGCCCTTAGGGTTTTTTTTGCTTTTTAATAAAATAAACAGTGGTTACCTGTAAGTACAATATGTATAGGATAGACACATTTTTTCCCCGGTATGCAAATAAACCTCATTTTAATTATAATCTCTTTGCTCTAGGCAGAGTGCACTCTACAATTTAAATAATTTACAAAATATGAACTTACAAAAAATACATGTAATTATCCAAAAAGAATAGTATATAATTCTGCACTAATTTGTGTATTTTACAGACTACTCCTGATTTAATGCTTCAATCAAATTAATAGCCAATCTTGAATTTGATTGGAATCAGCAATAGTTTGCCATCTCTTGTTATATGACTCTGCTGTATGCCTAGAATGTACAATGAGTTATTAGAGAGAGTGTCTGATTCCTTTCTTTTAAATTAGAGGTTGCAGAAAATGTACTTTCTCCACATGGGCAGACATACAGAAGTAGCTTTTTTTTTTATAATTACAGTTTGTAGAGATTTTATTTTTACAGCAGCTTACATCTTTTACTGATTTGGCAACACATGTGCAATACAAATAAAGATGTTTGGGAATGTTTCCACTGTTCAATGTGGTCATATAGGTCTCCAAACTAGTGCTTCTTTTTTGTTTTATATATTTTTTTATATTTATATTTTTTTCTACTATGTCATCACATATTTAATTTCTTTTGTAAAAAATGAAAAAAAAAGAGAAATATGCAGTATTTTATTATCTACATCATAAGTGCTTCTGTGAATGATTTTACTACTGTATGTTATCAAATATTTGTTATTATTATTATACAGGATTTGTATAGCACCAACAGTTTGCACAGTGCTTTATCATATAAAGAGAGACAGTACAGTTACAATACAATAAAAAAAGAGGATTAAGAGGGTCCTATTTATAAAAGCTTAAAATCTAATAATTTAATAAAATAAAAAAGAAATACAGTATGTAGTTTACATACATCTACATCAAAAGTTTCTGTAAATTATAGCAGTAAGAGTGCAAAAAAAAAGTGTAAACTCCATTTATCAGAACACTTCATATGTACATAGGGCACATGTACTGTGAAAAGTATCAAACAAAAAATCGCGATAAGCAAGCATTTTTCCTTAGGCAGTGATGTTTGGAACAAGTGATTAAGAATTCTTCAAAAAACTCACTGCAAGAAGCTGCATGTTGAGTACTCTTATAAACATGGAGCATAATGGGAATTTTATAATTATGATCACAGGTGTAAAGTGCAAGGTGCCATCTTCAGAAGCATGAGTAGATCGTAGATATTTCTGGGTTTTTTAATTTTTCTTATTCCCACTGAATAGTGGTGGGGTAGTGTGGATATATGGTGGGTGAGTAGCTTCTGGCAGCTTCCAAACACCAAAGGGTTTCCACAACCACCTTGGGCTGTAACTGGAGAGTTGAATGTTGAGTTGATGCGCCATGCCGTGATGCTGTAGCTCAGATAGAAATGTATTATAAAATAAAATAACTGTACATAAATTCAACGCATTGGGGCCAAGCCTTGCCCCTTTTGTCAGAACTTTAAAGTGGTTGTAAACCCCTACATACACCCAGTGAAGTGACTGGCCTCATGTGATACACAGAGATTAAACAAATCCTGTCTATCTGCAATCTTTTATTCTCTACATTTGTTCAAAGGGCTGAATCTATAAAGCTTCTCTGAGAGTTCACAAAGAAAGAGGCGGAGAACTGAAGTTACACTCTGAAGAGTTCTGAGAGCTGATTGGAGGGAAGGGACACCCCCCCCCCTTCACACAGCTCCCAAAAGCAGAACTGAGGCTGTCAATCTGCTGGAGGTCCCTCCCCTGTCAACATTTTTCTCTTGGTGTCAGGAAAACTTGTCAGAGGTGATTCATGCTGGTAGCAGAGGAATGAAGCATCAGAGAGACATGTCACTTAGTGCTCTGGAATGAGACAAGTACACATAGAGGGATATGCTTGGTTCATATTCCATGTCTGAGTTTTACAACCACTTTAAAGAAGAGAAAATAGTGTTTGTGGCCTTGGTAAGGATTCGTTATAATTTGAACCAATGGTTAGGACTGGCACCTGCTTGACAGCAGCTGGTTGTTGCAGCACTGATTACGTTTCACTTACTTTATTGTAACTAACTCAGAAGAAAAGCCATACAATGTTAAAGCTGAAGTTTAATCTGCTTAGAATTTTTAAATATACCTTTCCATTTTCATTTGATACCTTATTTTTTTCAGCAATAAAATTTTTATTGAATTTAAAGCTCCTTCCAAAAAAAAAAAACAAAAGTCAGCAACTAGAAATACTGTAGCGGCTGACTTTTAATATTAGGTCACTTATCTGTCCAGGGATCCAACAGTGACCTCACCCCAAGCCGATTCTTCAGTTAGGTGCTGACGGAGCCATCTTGACTAAGGGAAACCAACGAAGCCTTGCAGCTTCACTGCTGGTCTCCTACTGTGCATGCTTGAAGAGCATTGGGCTCTTGTAAATGGGCCTCAGTCCTCTGGGACCTTGGAAGTGTCCCAGGGGCTGCAGGGGAGGGCGTACTGAGCCGGAAGTGGAAGCAGGTACCTGTCAAACCCAAGTACTTGCTCCCCCCAAAAAGGTGCCAAATGTGGCAGAGGAGGGGGGGGGGGGGGGAGGCAGAAAAGTGGAGCTTCCACTTCTGGGTGAGACTCTGCTTTAAAGAAAATAACCACACAATCTGACTTATATGGAAAAATGGGGATCAACTGCATAAAGCTGTGAGAGGTATAAAACACCATAAGGTTATTTTCAACACAGCTCAAATCTAGCGAGATAAATGCAGTATATTGTCTGATAAAGACAGGAAATGGAAGATGGAGAAATAAAATAGAATACATACCTTATGTTTGTTCTAGGGATGTCATCGCTGGGTCTTTGTGCCTCCCTGTCCAATGCAGACAGAGCATATCTGCTAGAATCGTCCAACAGAGTGCTGTACATAGCTTTCAGAAACCATCACAGCACCCTGCCTTAAGCTGCCCATAGATGGTTGTACAGAAGATCTATAAATCAACCTCTGTACAACCTACCTGGTGGAAAATTTCCTCTCAAAATATCTATGTATCTGGACAGTGGGGAATCAGGTCAGTTTTTTGTTAAACCAACTGGTTAAATGAAAAAAACTCACTCATCAATGGCCAGCTTTAGTACTGCTCTCAAGAGCCCATGGCCCTGGTGCAAGCAGTAAGCTGGTGATTGGGAGGCTCTAAACAAATGTCAGAATGCCTTGATGAGTGGATGTCAGTCTGGTGGAGTGGGTGTTCTTGGGAAGCCTGCATTTGCATGTAGACTGTTATAGGTAATGCCTGCATGAGTTGCTGAGCCTCCTCCTTGGTTGATAAAACAGAAATTTGATAAATAAAAGGGGTGGGCCAGATATAGATCTCTGGTGCCTAACTTGCATGCAGCCATTTGGTACTTGATGTGTAGCCATTGGATCTCAGCAGTCTGTAGTGGGATCATTGATTAGGGTAATAGCATTGATCTCTACTAGCCACAAGTCTGCAGTTTATGATAGTCCTCTCAAGCATTACATATATATCGAACATTATGTTCAGCCCTTTAGTGATGTCAGTGGCCGCATTTCAGGCCCCCTTTAGCTCATAAGTTGATAACCACTGGGCTAGAAAATGCTGGGCATCGCTAACTCACTATACCTATGGAGGAGCAGCGTTGCCACCGTAGGCTGCTCTCCTTATTTGGATTACAAACACTACCCCCTCTCCTCATCTTATTTCAAAGAGGGGCATTACTTTCTTGTTCACATAACATATAGTAGCTGCAAATGCAGATGACATTGTTTGAGATTTAAGTTCAGTGACCAGGAAGGACACATGCTTTATAATTGCTCATGTACACTGCAGCTGATAAACACACATTTGAATGCTGGAAAATGACAGCAGGTAAACGCAGGTTAAAAACATCAGTTTTGACGCGTTTGCATACCGCTTTTGCGTTTAGAAGCGTTTTTTAAAGATAAGCACAGGAAATGCCCAAATGCCCAGAATGCACTGGAAAGTGGTAAATTATTAACTATTTCAGACTGTTTCAGAGAAATACAGAGAGTAGAAGGCGAGGGAGCAGTATGTGTTGAGATTAACTTAGGTGTGAGTTGCTCATTAACATTTCATTGTTTCCAAGGGTGGGAAAGGTGTCTGGTGGAGTGAGTCATTAAGGCCACCTGGCAGGGGGTCTTCATGAGGAATTTGAGGTGTGAATGGTCATTACCATATCTTTTGTTTCCAAGGGTGGGAGAGGGCTGAGGTGTGAATTGGTCATTACAATGTGTGAAAAGCTTGGTAGGAACATCCTGTGTTCAGTGTTTAGTCCATTTGAGTACCTTGAAATGCTTTGCATGCATTTTTCATGATGAAAAAAGGCTCTGAACAGCATCTGGAAATGGAAGAATTAAAAAAATGTTCCAAATGCAAATAAACGCGATTAGCTGCGCTTACAAGTGTATACACGCGGTTACAAGTGTTTGGCGCTTGAAACGCTGATAAAATCTACTGCTGAACGCAAGTTTTCTGCGTTCAAAAAAACAACTGTAAACTCAACTGCCTGTAAACGACTGTAAACGAATATGTGTACATGGGCACATAGGGAAACATTAGTGAGAGTTCAGGGGCTGCTGAAAATAACGCTGAACAGCTCCTAAACGTGAGTTTAATAGCTGCAGTGTACATGAGCCCTAACTGTATGAACAGTTATTTAACTTTACTTTAAATAAATAAAAAGAATGCAACTGTCACATCTAATGAAGTATAAGCTAAAATATTTACCGGTTTCACCGAATTTTAATATGCATTGAACTGTACTGAAATCTTGGAAAAAAATTGTAGGCACAGTAAAACTAGCTCCCACAGCTTTATATATGTCTGATTTTTTTTGGTGCCTTACCAACTTGCTAAGTTGCAACCTATATACCTATGTAAGTTAAAAAAAGCAATTACCTCTTTTAAAAAAATTCATTGATCATTTGATTTTATTAATGAGCTTTGTTCTGAAGAAAAATGCTTCCTGTGACCAGGCGACCTCCAGTCTGAATTGTTAGACAGCAAATAACTTTAATGTGTTTGAATATATTCTTTGGATCATGGCCTGAAAACAATTGACCTCAAATGTAATAATGATGTATCAGCCCCAGTAAAGGAATCATTGTCTGGCACTTTCAGACTGTATAATTAGGAATTTAAAGAAGATTTCTGGTCGAGTTAAAGGGTCAGTGCACCCAAAGTGGTCATTTTGGACATTTTTTTTCCCTTATGCTAGAGATGCAGTCACCCGATGTTTTTAGTATGTGTGTCAGGTGTTTTTACACATTACATTTGAACTCCCTTGTCCAAAGAGTTGCTTTCTGCAAAGGTCCCACCTTTTACTTTTGGATTATTCATTTACTGTATGTAATGCAGGACGATTGGGAGGTCAAGATGGGTGAGACTGAAATGATTAGGAAAATTTCAGGGTAATATGGCAGGGATATCTCATTGCTGGATTCCTCAAGATATATCGGAAGTCAGAGGCCAACTTTACCCACCAGATTCCAGAAATATCACTTTTAGGTGAACTGACCACCTCAAAAGTATAATATTGTTTTAAATTCAGAGCCGCTTAATGCTTTCAATTATTCATTCCCGATATGCACCTCAACATATTATTGTATCTGTGGCCCATTCAGAAATCACTCCAGCAACATATATTATGTGTTGTGGTGCCCTCTGTATATGTGTAATGGAGCCATTCAACAGGAATGGCACTGCAACGCATCATAGAGTGCTGGATGTTTTGGTGTGCATTATGGCAATAAGAAATGCATGAGAATGGTGTGAACTGGCCCTTAATATAGCCAGCAAACACCTTTTGCTCCTGTGTTATCGCGCCCAGTACATCCTCTAAAACAGTGGGCTCCAAACTGGGGCCCCAGATAAAATTAAGCCCTCCGCTTAATTTTATCCGGCCCTTGGGGTATTTCTCCCCACACTGTCAGCAACAATGTGGCACTATTCTTCCCACTGACACCATTGATGGGACACTATTCTTCCCACTAACATCAAGGATGGGGAACTATTCATCCCACTGGGACCAATGATGGGGCAATATTCCTCCCACAGACACCAATGTTGGGGTGCTATCCCTCCCACTGACACCAATGATGGGGTATTGTCTACTGCCATTGACACCAGGACATTTTCTACTCCCGCTGGCCACAATCTGGCCCCCCTAAAATTTGAATGACAGTAAACTGGCACTTTGTTTAGAAAGTTTGGAGACCTCTGCTCTAAAAGTTACCCTGTGCTTTTTAGGACTATCTTTTTGTAAGGCCAAGCCTGCCTAGAGTGGCAGGATTGCTATAGGCAGCATATGGCTACCCAAACATTATGTTGCAAACTGTCAGTAACACATTCTCATGGAATGTTTAGGGTTATAGACATAGACTCCATGAGTATTGTGTGGCAATGATGTGTGATGCTGTTTGGGCTATACTAAGACTAGCCAGTTGACTGGAATAAGAAGGGAACAGCATAATACAGTGGGCTAGGGCAGGAAGTGTAAATCTGGCCCTGACACTTTTCCAGTTCAGCAGTACTTTATAGCAGAGCTAAATCCCGCAATTACTCCCTTCAATAGTCTGATGTCCTTCATCAGAGCCGGCATTTTCTACATGGCTTCTTCTGGGTCCCAGGCTGTGGCCCATTCCACAGAAGACTGTGAGCAAGCAGGTGAGTTTCTTTTATTACAATAAAATAAAGAGCCTGTCTGCTCACATTTTTAACTTTCTACACTTTTTCTCGTATATACTCCCCTTCCCTTTGTTCTCCATCTTCTCTGTTCATCCACTTAAAGCAAAGAGAAATATCCAATATTTCCTGATAAGAGGAGCACATGACCCACTCTGCTTCTTCCCACAAAGCAGCACTGGGTGCCTTAGTGACCAATGACAAGGCCTGACTGCTGTCATGTGTGGAAGAGACCTTAATCCTATGTAAGCTCACACCATAATGTCCTAAACTTACATTTAAAGTGGAGAAAAGTGGAGAATTTGTTTAATCTCGGTGTACCACTTGAGGCCAGTCACTTAACTGGGTATATGTAAGGGTTTACAACCACTTTAAATAAATCTGTTTCTTCGCTCTGCATTGGAGAAACACAGGCACGCTTTAAAGTAAACCTCTCATGAGGAAAATGTGGGGTCTGTTTTTAATGACTTCTTTCTGATGATGCTTGTTGCCTGATTTTTCTCTGGCTTCAATAATTTCTTTTGTCTTAATAACTGAACTATATAACAATGCAGCAAGGGAAAGTTGGAGAAAAGTTGCTATAAGTGTTCCAGCTCAGAATGAATTCTAAAGTATTAAATCCAGTGTCTAGCACCTAGCAGTTTCCAAACCAGATTTGCAGCAATGGCAGCCTGCATCGTGAATTCACCTCCCCTCCTCCCACCTCGTCCAATAAGAGAGTGCCTTGTATTCCAAAAATACAAGGCCTTCTATGAATGGCGGTGGTACCGAACAAGCGACGCCCTATATTCATTGGGCTGAGGGAAAGCTGCTTGCAGAGAACAGGCTGTGACTTACAGCAGCTTGAGCCAATGGGCCCCCATTGCTGCCTCTCTGTCCAGTGAGGACAGAGAGAGCCTACAGAGTGACTGCTCTCAGTCATAGCGCTGGATTGAGATCACTCTCAGGTTAATATTTATGGGGGGGGGCAGGGGGAGCTGCATGCAGAAGGCGTTTTACCTTGATGCCTAGAATGCATTAAGGTAAAAACCTTGAACCTTTAGGGCTCATGTACACTGCAGCTGATAAACTCACGTTTAGGAGCTGTTCAGCATTTTTTTTCAGCAGCCCCTGAACTCACCCTAATGTTTTCCTATGCGTCCATCTACACATCTTCGTTTACTGTTGTTTACAGGCATTTGAGTTTACAGTCGTTTTTTTAAACACAGAAAACTTGCATTCAGCAGTCGATTTTATCAGCGTTTCAAATGCAAAACGCTTGTAAACGCGGCAAATCGCAATTATAAGCGTTTGCGTCTTAAATTTTTTTTTCAAACTCTTCCAGTTTCCGATGCTGTCCAGAGACTTTTTCAGCATGAAAAATGCATACAAAGCGTTTTGAAGCGTTCCTACCAAGCTTGTCACACATTGTAATGACCAATTCACACCTCAGACCTCTCCCACCCTTGGAAACAAAAGATATGTTAATGACTATTCACACATCAAATTCCTCATGAAGACCCCCTGCCAGGTGACCTTAATGTCTCACTCCACCAGACACCTTTCCCACCCTTGGAAACAAAAGAAATGTTAATGAGCAACTCACACCTAAGCTAATCTCGACACATACTGCTGTCTCTGCTTCTACTCTCTGTATTTCTCTGAAACAGTCTGAAATAGTTAATAATTTACCACTTTCCAGTGCATTCTGGGCATTTGGGAGGTTCTCCTGTGCTTATCTTTAAAAAACACTTCTAAACGCAAATGCGCATAAACACGTTATGCAAACTCAGCTAAACAGACTTTTTTTAACCTATGTTTTCCAGCAGTCCGTTTCCATCGTTCAGAAGTGTCCTGTGTACATGGGGCCTTAGAACCACTTTAAAGGTTTGAAAAGCCCTAGCACAGATATAAATGACCCATCTGTAATTGTGTGCTGTACAAGTATGATCATGGCTCATAGCACCATGCTTAAACTTGTAAGTACTTTTTGTAGGACAATAATCCTAATAACAGAGAGATAAAGTGCTATGCTGGTATGGATAAAATGTAATTTCCGTTTTGTAGAAGTGAAGTAGTCCCTCCATGGCCCCCACTCTCTTTACTGGCTAAACAGAAGGTATTATTCAAGTTAGTCTCCCCTGTTCCCAGTTTCCTCTTGTTGTAAAATATTACAGTGATTACACATCATAAAGCCTATCTGTAATAAAACGCATCAGCTGGCCAAGGTTTTCATCGCTCACTCAATAATCCATTAATACAGCAATGCTGCCCAGGCGTCTTTATAATACCAACTCGAAGGTAATTTTAATCAGCTGCACCAGCTGGTATTTAACAACAGCTGCTGGAGTCGCCACAAATATACTCAGTAGCTGGCATCTTTATTTGCAGTATTTCAAGGGGAGAGATCCCCATGTGGTTACATGGTGTTGTGTGTATATGTATGTGATATATATATATATATATATATATATATATACACACATGCACAGCATATTGTGTATACACACACATACTGTATATATTGGAGTAAACAAACTTTTTTGTTATGACCGGGTTATAATAGGACCAGTAGTGTCAAATCTAGGATAAGGTAGTACTTTTCCACCTAACACTGTATGGGCCAGTTCACATCATGAATCATACAGGAATGCCCTGTGCGGTTCACGTGTGATCCAGGTGCAGTGCGATTTCAATCCATTCACAAAGGCACAGCAACCAGATTGCATGGTACTATATGGGTATTGTTACATTAACACTGACAACCGCTGTAGATTGCAGGTGCAGTGCTTTTTGAACGCAGTGCAAGAAATGCACACGGAACGCAGGTTTCATGCATCGCATTCTGGTGTGAACTGGCCTTATATGTAATAGAATATGGTGTTTTAAAAAAGCGATCATTTGTTTGTTTTTTAGTTTTGGATACACTATGGAAGGCTTACAACCTCTGTCAAGTTTTTATTGCTGCCTATTTCCATTCTGGGAAGATCAATTCCTCTGCTTGTCTTGGTGGCCATTTTCACTGATATGGAAAGTGATGAGGAATCCCAAAAGTTAATGTCGTCAACAGAGCAACTTTCACAGGAGGTGAAGGGTAAATCTTCCAATGGGGTTCCAGAGACACATGTCTAATAGTGGAATTCCCCTAACTTGTGGAGATTTGCTTTCATGTACTGTGCCTCCTGGACAAGGGAGTAAAGGGAAATCTCACTATAAGGACACAGACAGCAAATATATCAACTCACAAACTTTGGAGCTGTTGTCCTTTTCCTTACTTCTTATGAGTGTATCCTTGAACTTCATGACTACAATGGCAAATCCCATATAACTGTCCTGAGCATTCCATTTCAGAGCTGAATACTTTTACAAGCATTGCATTCTACATGTTCATTCAATGTGTTATCTTGCATTAAGGCAGCTTATTCATTTTGAATGGGCCGGTAGCATGCCTTAAAGTTGTTCTTAAAGGCTCAAGGTTCTTCTACCATCATGTATTTATTCTTGAAGGCAAAAAACCTGTTTGCAACAGCCCCCCCCCCAATACTTACCTGAGCCCCATCTTGATCCAGCGAAATGCACAAGAGCCTTGGCTGTCCCAGGTCTCTCAATCCTCATTCGCTGAGACAGCAACGGGTGCCACTGGCTCCTGCTACTGTCATTCACAACCAGTGAGCCAATGAGGACAGCCGCTGCAGTGGGTGAATGGACACAACAGCGGCTCGGGTGCCCCCATAGCAAGCTGCTTGCTCCGGCGAACTTGGCAGGAGGGAGGGGCCAGGAGTACCAGTGGGGGACCCAAGAAGAGGAGGATTTGGGCTGATCTGTGCAAAACCATTACACAGAGCAGGTAAGTATGATGCTTGTTATTTGAAAAAGAAAATATGCCTCTACAATCACAATAAAGCACAAAAAATGGGTATAAACCACACTACTGCACTGCAATCTACTGTAATAATGCATTGAGATGCTACTCAGAATGAATGAATGACACCGCAACCCACTACAGTTCACCCATTACCATGCTGTGTAGTTAACACAAAATAAAAGATGAGTGTTTTTGCAAGTTACCGCTACATAAAAATGGAAATGTGCTCTTATACTAATTAAAATAATATACAATAAGGATAACATTTTGTTTTGCTAATTCAGAAATTATTTTGTTTTTAGCATTGAAAAGTACTGGTACATAGATTTATAGAGTTATGGGGCAGCTGGCTCAGTCATATGTATAAAAGTAAAACTCCAATTTGCACCCTTTCACTTTGCTGGGCTATCACAAGGCATCCTGACCCCCATCATTTGTTTTGCCTGCATGCGGCTTTATGTAGTGCCTGCACTTTAGTCCTTCTCTAGCTTTGTTTAAGCTCAGTTTGTGTTACTGGCAGTGTAGCACAGCCGTTTCCTGTCCCAGGCAAGGTTTCATTTACTCCCCCCTTTAGTTCTTCAATGGGAGGTCTAATTACATTCCTGACACAGTCAATGGACATTACTAGTGGCAGAATAATGCCGATATCCAGTGACTTCTATTTCTCTTGCCTTGGCATGTCATGTGTTTAGGCAAAACAATAGGTCATCACAGCCTCATGCTTCTCACATGAGTCGCTAGGTCTTCTGGGACATGTAGTCTCTATGCGATTTTGAGATCCACTGCTCCCTTCCCTCACTGAATGCCCAGTGGTCACGTGACCACACCTCTAGTATGAAGTAAACAGTACTTTTAGGGTGTTTTTCTTGTCTAAAGCTTAGTGGACATTGATCATAGTACTTTAACCACTTCAATACCGGGCACTTATACCCCCTTCCTGCCCAGGCCAATTTTCAGCTTTCAGCGCTGTCGCACTTTGAATGACAATTGCGCGATCATGCAAGACTGTATCCATAAGAAATTTGTATGATTTTTTTTCACACAAACAGAGGTTTATTTTGGTGGTATTTAATCACGACTGAGCTTTTTATTTTTTGCTAAATAAAATAAAAAAACACCTGAAACGTTTGAAAAAAAAACGCACTTTTATTTGTTTCGGTTATAAAATTTTGCAAATAAATAAAATTTCTTTGTAAATTTAGGTCAAAATGTATTCTGCTACATTTCCTTGGTGAAAATAATAAATAGAATTTTTTTTTTTTTTAAATGTTTCTATTTTTTCTTATTTTGTATAAATTGTTTTCTTTTTTTTTACTATTTTATTTTTCAGCACACTATGACCAAAGCAATACAATGTTACCTTAGTAACACTGAACTACTCTGAGCAAGTGATCAGCATTTTTTTTTTTAACACGTTATGATTGCTAATACCAATGTATTTAAATGATATTTGCAATCATTGTTACTGAATGAAACTGCTTAATTCAGTCTTTTTTGTTGTGATTAGCTGTGATTGGGCACAGCTGATCACATGATACAGGTGGGCTGTGATTGGCCCTGTCTGTATCATGTGACTTCCTTGAGCAGTCACAGCTTACAACATAATTGTATACAATGGATGGCATGACAGGAAGCCATGCGTTGTATACAATTGACATGTGATCTGCTGTGATTGGTCACAGCGGTCACATGGCAATTGGCTGGTGCAGTGATATGTCATCGGCTGTGTCCCGTGGACACAGCCAGTGACAGATCGCGCCGCTGTGTGGCTTGTTTTTACCGGACGTCATAAGACGCCCAGTCACAACGGCGAGTGTCCCGACCGGCCATCGATCTGCTATAGGCCATGTGGGAATGTGTTAAATATTAAAGCAACAACATATTACATTTCTGTAGCATCATGCAAAGATCACTATAAGCTGCACAAAGAAAATATATTAATCACTATTTGCTTTGTCTACATCAAGGGTCTCTTTTCGTATATCAAAATACCAGATCTTTTTTAACCCAGTAGGGCTCATGAGCACAGCTGTGCCTACCATATTTCTCCACTGGAAGACACAGATGCCTCATACAGCCACCCCATAGACATAAGTGGCTGTACTTGGCTGTTTACACTGGTACTTACATTAACCTCTGCATGTGTGCAGATTTAAAACCCCATACGCATGCGTGTGTATACTCAAGTACTGGCACTAGGCACAGGGAGTTGTTTTATAGGAGGGGAGAATTTAGAATTGACTTCATCATTGTGCTGATGCTCTTTCTGTATGCAATCATAGGCTAGCGTAGTCTTTGGCCAAGCTGTTTTGCTTTAATGGCAGTAAAGAAACATGAGGTCAGATTTTGGCTGTGATGTCTTACTAAATGAAGGCGGAAGGTATTTACACAGTTGCTGACTGTGACATGTTCCTATTAATGATAAGTACATAAAGAATTGGGTTTATTGAAAACCTCTCTACATACTATAGCAAAATGGCAAAAGTCCCTTTCAGCAAACCAAAAATATTATTGTACCATTTGTGTCATTTATGATGATGTCATCATGACTTCCTTTGCTGAGCTTCTTGGAAGACAAATAGTTAACCAGGGGATAATAAAAATCTGGACATTTTTTTTTTTGCACGCGTACACTTGTTAGCCACTGTTCGAAACAAATATAATTTATTGGTTAAAGTGTTCCTAAACCCAGGACCCTGCATTCACTCTATCTGGTCTCCCACAGTACACAGAACATGAAATACCAT